CTCTCTCTCTCTCTCTCTCTCTCTTTAGAGGAGCAGAAAGTCTACACGCACGCACGCACGCACGCACGGTACAAAAAAACACCCTGGAATTGCATTGGGAAGAGCAGAGCTTTCATAATACTCATTTTTTCCCCACTACCTGAGCATTGAGCAACTTGCTCTGAGTTAGTGCACCCAGTGGTGTCACCTGGGAAGACTCTCTCTGGTCACAGTAAATGTTTTCACACAAGCAATTTTGCTCAAATCTCATTTTTTATGATGTCCGATTTAAGAGAATAGCACGCGGCTGTGAACTTTTGTTTCCTGCTTGGGGAAAATGCCACAGAAACTGTTGTGCTGAATATAGCTTACAAGGGCAACACTATGGGAAAAACTCAAGTGTACGGGTGGTTTTCTTGTTGCAAAAAAGCTCAAATGTCAAATGATGAAAAACCTCGTTCTGGATGTCCGTCAACTTCCCAAACAGAAGAAAATATCGACTTGTAATGCATTTGGGGTTCATTCCACCAGGTCAGACTGTTAATCAAACTTTCTATTTAGAGATTCTGAAAAGATTAAGTTAACAGTGTGCAACAAAAAGGCCTGATTTGTGGCAGACGGGGGACTGGTTTTGCCATCACAACAGTGCACCTGCTCAGGCAGCCGCCTCAATGTGCAAGTTTTTTTTGGGGAAAAAAAACCAACCCAAAAAACAAAAAAAAACAAAAACACAGCATGCCTCTCTTGCCCCACACACCTGACCTCGCTGTGTGACTTCTTTTAGTTTCCGTGAACGCTGAGGGACATGAAATGACAGCAATTTGATGACATAGAACAGGTGAAGAAAAAAACAAGGGAGGTGCTGTGCGCCATCCAAACAGATGAGTTCGAAAAATATTTCCAAGAATGGAATCACAGATTTGACAAATGCACTAACTATAATGAAGGGCACGTTGAAGGTGATAAGGCTTTGTAAAAATATTTACATACATAGCATTGAAAATTTTTTTAGGTCTTTTGGGGGGTAGCCCCTCATGTGTACACACACACACACACACACACACACACACACACACACACACACACAGCAGTTCATGGAAAATGGAATTAAAAGACAAAAATAAAAGATATAAACTGTATTTCTCAACATAAGTTCCATCAGGTTCAAGTATTTTTGTTAGGTGATGATGATACGAGCCATTTAGCACATCCCTGAAGAGCTGAGGGTCCTGGGTATTTAACCACATCAATATACTCTATCTTACATTATTACCTGATGAACACGGTGCCCTTTAAAGACTTCTTAAATATTAGGAAACAAAACAGAAGGAATAGAACCAAGACTGTATGCCTGCTAATTTCACATCAAAACTCTTCTGAACTTTTGCTTGTTTGATGAAAGCAATGAGTAGGAGATCCTCACTGTGGTGATGAAGGACTCTGATGGAGCTTTCTCAGACATTTTTCTCCGAAAGCTTTGACTAGCTTTCTCAAAACACTCGTATAACAAGCAGATATATAGTTCTTTGGATTTCCGAAAGAAAATCAACAAGCAAAATGCCTTGAACATGAAAAAATAAAAATTTATTGCCATGACCATTTTCCCACCTCCTGGGGGTCATTGCTTTGATTGGATTGTGTTTTTAGGACTGTACTGGTGAAGCCATGTTTAATCTCCTGTTAGTTCTTCAGAGAAATGCTTCAGAATCTTGATCGAATTGTTTAAAATTTCCACAGAATGTTCTGCTCATCTGTAGCTATTTTGGCTCAACAGTTCTGGTACCCAATGAGCAGAAAACTTTGCTCAGCTTAATTTCTTAGTCAGAACTGCATACGCTGAACCAAATGAGAAGTCACCGGTGTGGCTATTATTATTTCTTCAATTAGGGAACAAGAAGATTGCTTTCTTACAAATGGATGTGGATGGTCTGCTGCTGTGGGCTTCATCTTCAGCATAACCTTGTCACTTCTGAAAATGAGCTGTCCATTTGTAGACTGCTGATTCTATGGGGCATGTACTGTGCACTTTTTGTCAAGTATCAGTGAACTTGCCATTCTCCCACCCAAGCACTACCATAAATTGTTTGTTCTTGCTTCACTTTTAGCAGAATTTCAAATTGGTGTCTTATCATTATTAATGCCTCAAACTAAATGCTGTTGAGACATGTTTTAACAGTTTATTTTGGTGGAAAAGACTCTTAATATTTCTCCTAATATCCATTTTCCACAAACTTTCTGAAGACCCACGGTAATCTAGTTTTATATTTTTACTAGAGATTCAAAAGATCATGACTCTAGCAATCAATACTATACTCTTATATGACCACAGTTCCAGGAGCTGACTAGAATAAGCCATCACCAGTAAAAGGCATGATAAGGATAGTAACTACAGTGTACTGAACATGTTTAAATGCTCCAGTTCTCTTTTACTTACACACACACACACACACACACACACACACCCCTACACCTTCTTAGTCATAGTGGATACTGGTAATGAACTCATTTTGCAAGGTTCTAATTGAAAGAAAAGAACAAAGTATTGACAGTCTTTCATATATACTTGCACCATGTGCAAGGAGGTTTCAAAAAGTTCATGGAAAATGTTTTTTTGTTTTTAATAAATACTTTTATTGGGGGCACTTACATCTCTTATCCCAATCCATACATTCATCCATTGTGTCAAGCACATTTGCACATATGCTGCCATCATCATTTTCAAAGCATTTTCTTTCTACTTGAGCCCTTGATATTGGCATCTCATTTTTCCCTCTCCCCACCCTTGATGAGTTATAATTATTTTCATATCTTACATCATCCTCCATCACCCTTACCCAATATCATGGAAAATGGCTTTGAAAGAAAATAGACTTTTTCCATGAACCTTTGAAGCTCCCTTGTGTGTGTGTGTGTGTGTGTATATATATATTATATATACACACCCATACACATGGATGTGTAGTGTGTAGGACCTGTATGTACACATACAGTAGGGCTTAAAAAGTTCATGGAAAAATAAATTCAAAGATAATGGCGTTTTTAAATGAGCTATTGTTTTTGAAGCCCACTCATATATGTGAGAAGTCCTGGTAGAACAGTTGGTTATAAGTTGAGCGTCTAACTAAATGGTCAGCAGTTCAAAACCACCCGCTGCTCCATAGAGGAAGGATGAGGCTTTCTACTTATTCTCTTATGGCATTATTTTGGTTAAGTAAATGAAAGACCATTGTCACCCCTAATAAATTAATGGATAAAAGCAATAACCCAAAAACCTAATGATGTCACTAGAAAGAGAAACAAACAGCTTTATTTACTTGACGGTTGTACAGATCACCGCCTATGGAGGATTTTTGTTAAAAACAACTAAAAAAACCCAGAAAGATCTAAGGAAAGAAGAGGAAGAAACAAAAATTTAAATTGAAGCTCATCAAACCTCTACATCTAATCACCAATTTTCAGGCAAGACAGAGGTACATGCTAAACAAGAAGGAAATACGGTTGGTAAAATTCAGACCAGAATGAACAATTGTTTCTTCATAAAGAAATTGCAAAGCAAGGCAAGTAAGCGAGGGAGCAAATGAGAGAGGGAAAATGAATGAGAGGCAGGAAGGGAGGGAAGGTAAGTGCACCCAGGAGGGAAGAATCACCCACAGATTAAGAGATGTTAAGAGAGACATCAACACGTTTCAACATGTAGACCTTATTTGGTCCTGATGCAGACAAACTATTAGCAAAAACTATCACCACCACACCGAAACACATCAACAAAGAGCCAATTAGTGAAATGTAGACATAATAATGTTTTTAAAGTTCCAGGTACGTTAGACATGCCATCAAGACCAACCAGTCCCTGAGAAAGACAACATGCTCGGTCAACTTGAGCATGGAGACAGAAGTTCTCAAGGCGATGGACTGACCCAGCGGAAGCCACTCAGTGGGATCAAACAGCAACTGTGCGGCTGGCATAGGACTCGGCAGCGTTTTGTTGTTGTACACACGAGTCAGCACCTACCAGCACTTTACTTTTGCTTTTTTAGTGGGGCCTTTCCCCCCAAACTCCAAACCAACCTCACTGCCACTGAGTTGAAGCCGTCTCCTAGGGACACAGTAGAGCAGGTTCTGAGACTGTAATTCTTTCTGGTCCCTGGGAGCGTCAGGCGGTTTCAAGCTGCTGACCTTCTGATTAGCTGCCCAATGCTTAACCACTACGCTACCGAGGCGCTCTCTTGGAGGTGCTTACAGTATTTGCAGGC